CAGGCGCTTGTCTTGCGAAGGAGTTTCATGGTTTCCGTAATTTATATCCTATCTACTCCCAGTGCCTCTTCCTAATTTCCTCTTCAGTTGGAAGCTGGTCTGTTCTATCCCACAGTAGGTTGTTGCTGATGGTATCCGACCAGTGGGTATTGTGTATCTTGAGTTGACAACTGTTTATAACTACTTGTACCTTTTTGACAATGGTTGTGTTAGTTCTCAAAGTTTCAGCTGCGTACAGTGGAAGTTTCTTCACGTTCATATTGAAGATTCGAACTTTTTATATTCGTTGACAGTTGTTTTGAGTTCCATATGTTCGTCAATTGTAGGAATGCTACCCTTACTTCACCAATCCTTGCCTTTACATCCTCAACGGATCCTACTTGTTCGTCGATGGTGCTTCCCAGGTACGTCAGAAATTCCAATTCTTCCAGAGCTTCTCCATCAAGTGTGATTGTGTTGGTGTTCTCAGCGTTGTGTTTCAGGATATTGCTTTTCCTAGGTTTTTCCACAGGAACCTAAAAATCAAAAGTTTGTTGTGAAATTGTTGAGAATTATTATTAGAAAGATATACATAAGTTAATTACATGTAAACTTCAAACAAATCTTAGTACCTAATTTCAACTATTGTTACTTTATTGTTTCGATTGCAAGCTATATGTGTATCATTCGATCGTAATATGGATCATAGCAGAACTGAGATACAACCTTTAACACCACAGAAGAGGGAAGGGTGGCGTTTTTAGACAGAAAACATAACGATTGGTATATAACCTTAATCCACCCACGCCTGCAGTGCGAAGCATTTCCTTTTCTACCGGCTCCCTATGGCCTGATGGGAAGCAACAAAACAACGGTTTCACTGTTGCTCTCCTCTTCAAACTGCCTCTTTTTTTTACAAACTCTTGTGGCCTCAAATTGGCCCCAAGTTTCACCAAGGATTTCTATCACAAGCTTAAACAAACTCTTAGGCTAAAACAGAGTGACTCACTTGTGACTTTGAGAAAATGGATAACGATAATAATGATAAAAATTATGATAAAATAGCTAAAACGACGTTTGCATTATTCAAACTTTGTATTTCCCTTACCACATTTTGAAGATCCAGATAATCTCAAATTGCATCCACCTTTTTAAATCTCCCCTATTGGTGCAGTTCTTCACCCACTTTTTGACGTACTACTGAATGTTTTCTCTAATTCATCTAGCAAATGGAAATAAGTTTGAACATTCCCATCTTAATCTTTCCATCACAAATGATTCATATCATTCGTCATGAAAGCATATATAACTTTTCTGTCATTCTTTACACCTCTGATATATGATAAATATTTACAGTTCTCACTATAGGCCTGTTTTAACTTTTGTCTGGAAAATATTAACAAGAAGCCGTAGAAATATGTTGGGACTGGTATTTTAAGAAAATAACCGTGCGTTCACCGCAATACGTCTATTGTAAGCTCCGAAACCCGGTTTACTTTATTTCTGGACCACCGGTTGTTCGTTGCAACGCAGCCTCCACAAAACATGCCAGTGTTTACACTGTACATTTTAGTCTTACTATCATCAGATGTATTCTTATGCATCAGAATTTGTCCCTATGAATAATGTTTGCTGGAACATGTTGTCCTAGCTGAGTAATTTACTACTTAAATTTTGCAGCATTCGTAACATTTCCGTCTTGCCCTCGAACATGTATGACTTGTAACTTTTTATCTCATAACAAATTATTGTTGTCAAGGTCCATTAAGTATACATTGGTAAGCAATGGAAACTCCCCTTATATCAAAAAATGTTCGAGAATCTTAGCTGCTTAGTAGCTGTATCATAACCGTATGAAATATTACCCAGTTATATATAGTGTTTGAATAATGCAGTTGTTCCAGTTGCAATTATAATCGTATTTATTACTATAGTGAGACGTGTTTTCTCAATGTTTTCAGGACTACATAAGTCATTACCAGTCATCAGTAGTGAGTGTTGCTTCTCTTAAATGAATGCAAATTGCATATCTACAAGTCTCTCTGGATAAAGCTTCTAGTGAAATCATAACTATTAGATACTCATCAAGGTTACTTGAATTTGATTTGTTGCTATTTCTCACCGCAATTTGGGAGTATTAATGAAGAACGTTATGAGGTAGATAATTTTAGGAGTTCATTGATCACCTCATGTATAAGAAAGTCTATGAACATTCGAGTGGACATACAGTGTATAACTAGCTCAAGTTTATGATGTAACACGGCCGATTCACTATAAAGCGTTGATTTAGAAGCAACAATAACCGATGAAAATTACTGATAACTGGACCGACCATAAATATCATAAAAACAGACTGCGATTGGTCATACTTAAAGTATAGGGAAGCCCAAAGGAAGCCGAATGCAAAAGTCGAAGTAGTGGTAAAAATAGGAGAATAATCTCGATATCATTGAATAAACGTCTGAATTCTGATCATAAAGAGATCGAAAAACAAAATGTTCTAATCTACAAACAATAGTGAGTTGCAATCATCCTGTCACCATCAGTGTTTACTGACTAGTAACTGTACTCTCACTGCACTTTCGTTGTTAAGCTTTTTCCAAGCTTGAGGTTCGTTTGTGATTTCTGGCCCTGCGATAATCGGCATAAAGTTGATATTTTGTGATTTAACTTAGCCGAAAGCAAATGAGATTTTTACAGTCCAAACATACTTTAATAATCCCACCAAATATATATTGAAAGATAAAATATTTCCATTATGTCCCTAAAACCTTGTTTAGGTTATGGACAGATTTTTACTGTTCAGTTTGAAAAAAGATAACAAGCCTATCTCAAGACTATTTTGTCGGCTGATAATAAAGATAATTGAATGATTTACCATATACGTATGTGACTATAGCATACCCAAAATACTTAGGTAATGAAAATTCCTTTACGTTGATTTCCAACTCCCAGCTCACGTTGTGACGATGGATTTTGCAATGGGTGTGTGGCCTTCAAACAGTTTTTTTTCTTTTCCCTCTTCTATGTCCAAATTTTTAACCGTCATCACAGTAACATGAACGTAATTGGGTCCTGAAATGAAATCGTTGTCCAATACGATTCCCCAACCAATGTAAAGGGATTCATTATTTGCTTTTCCAACATATTCATTGAAGATCCCCTAGTAACACTCAAAGAATTTCTGCCATAGGAAGCATGGTGTCTAATAATGGCATTCTTCACTTTTAAGTCTCTCAATTTGAAATCATTTACAGTTCTAACAGGAATTTTGAAATATTGACAGGAAAAAGACCAAAATACTTTGTGTGTCAGTGAAAGCACGAAAGACAGAGTTAAGCACTGAATTTACTAAAAGCTGTGAATTAACAAAAATAATGGAATTTATTGTTCGCGAACTACACTGTTTCCTTAGAACAGGGAACGAAGTTCATTTCCAGGTTGTCATACTTCTTTACAATAACATCTGTTTCATCTTTACCTATACGGGCATATGCTTCATGGAGTTTGAACCCCTTGAGATCAAAAAGATTTTCAGACATCTACATAAAATTTATGCTCTAAGTTTTTACTCGAAGTCTTGAAGGAATGTACTGCCCTTCTTTGCTCTCACTCTGCTACTCCCTTCAAGTATTCCCTAGTCAAAGGGAAGCAACACTCTAAATGGAAAAATGGGGTAGTTATGTATGTACTCAAAGAGGTTGGCAAAGAGTAAGTCTCCATTATCCAACCTATCTTCTTGCTCTACATTGTACCCTTGTTCTATCTCCACTACTGTAGGATGATGTTAACAAAAAATAAATCCCGCTTAACCTCGTACATATCGACTTGATTCGCGTTAGCGAATAAGAGAACAAAATAATTACGAAAAACGGTTCCTGGACGAACATGTTTAATACATCTATCAATTCTGATGGACAGTAAGAGAAAATGTGAGTGGAGATGGCAAGCGTGTCAACCTATTTTAATGACGTGCGACTAAGCATTTATATCCATACGGAAAAACAATCTATAGATATGTGACTCATAGAGTGAGTGGTAGACACATACACACATGTCAGCTCCTGTAGCCCCTTGTGGGCTAACTAATTCTATTCTGGGCTTTTCTTTCAGGCTGTTGGCATATGTCACTCATCCCTTGGTTGTCACACTAAAACTCCTGGAGCAATGTGTCCTTTGGTTTCTCTTTTCGTTTTCTGTTGACGATTCTGAAAAACGCATGGTCTTATGAAGGAGTTTGATGGTTTCTGCAAAATTTGACGTACCTATCCCCAGCGTCTTCTACATGATCAATTAGTGGAATGTCAAAAATTCCTTCCATTCAATATCACTAAATGCAAAATACTGGTGGGGAGCGGCAGTGAAACATTATTCACCACGTACTATCTAAGAAATTCTGGCATAACTCTAAGGAGAATATCATCATGACGTATCATATTGGTCATAGTTCTCTTTAACCTAACAGAATACGTTTGGGTAATAAGTCACTCTTAGAAGGACATCCACTCGAGATAAAACACGAAAGAGCTTGAACCGAAGTTTACGTAAAATTTTTGGCCGTGCAAATCAGTAAGTTGCGAAGTTGCATATTGGAACCTATGACGATGACACCCTCTGCTGAATCTACCAGGATAAATGTCTATGATTACTTTAGTTCGGAACATACTAAGGCGGAAAACTGTAGATGCAACTCCCCGTGCAGTTCTATCACCAATTATATTATGTTTCCTTTCAGTTTTTAAAACGGCTACAGAAAGAGACATACATATCTGTAATTACGTATGATCTACAACTTCCAGGATACAGATCTCAAGGAAAAAATAAATCACTAATTCCTCCAGACAAAGTTGCGGACTCTTTTTAAAACCCATTCATCACTTTAAGTTCGCAGGAAGGTCTTAGGTTGTTGCTTATCGTCCTCTCAGAAGAATAAATAAGGCGTACAGAGTAGTGTATACCAAATTGTTTGTTTAAGCTTTGTAACACCTGCCTCTTACGATTCTCATAAACGGTGATTGACCAATCAGAAAGATGAAAGAGTCTAGGGCGCGTACGCCATCTTGTTCACGGGATTTCCTGGTCTTATCTATTTCGATTCTGTGAATATCTCGCTTAAATGCGGCTTCTGCATAATGTAGGTGGTGGTTTTTACGAAACTTTCTGATCATAAATACCTCGTTTTGTTTTTATATCTACATTTGACCTGTTCCAATTATATGTGTAATAATTGCATGTCACTGAAATGTCGCGATGTTACTCAGTTTTCTTGTTAACTAAATCATTATATGTTATTTATAACCACAGTCTCGTGTCACTGTTGTTTATATATATGCTCTTATATCAATTGTCTTTTTCAGAATTCACTTCATGGCTCAAGAGACTCAGCAAAATGAACCTCGTGGATCTATTAGCCTACGAAATACTCAACTGCAACATCCCAACACATTAGCAATTATTAATAATTACTCATCTTCTGGGGAAATTCATACGATCCAGATATCCAGTTCATCGGCTAAACTGCCTACGGCAACATCCATCTGTTCTTTGTCAGCAAATAATCAACCCATTCAGTACATTGGACCGGAGGCCAGGACTTTATGTGTTCCTGTTTGTGGTGCTCATTCATCATATTCCCATTCGATTGTGCACCGTGCATCCCCCAATTCAAATGTTGGATATAATCCTGGATCAATGACTCATGCTCACTGCAGCACTCCTGCTAGCCAGCCTGATATGCTTGAAACATTGCTATCCAGAAATGTATATAATACACAGATTCATGCACAGAATCACTCTCCGCGTGTTCTCGGTCCGTCAATAGTCGTAACCAACATACCAAGTCAAAATCCATCAATAATGAGTAGTCCTGCCAATATTCGCAACGCGGCTCCTGTTTCAAGCAGTCACTCAATAGGTCAGACATATACAGCCACTACTAGCGCCCCTTCTGTGGTTGCAACAGATCCAGAAAAACGTCAACTCATCCAACAGCAGTTGATCTTATTACTTCATGCTCGCCGTTGTCAGCGCCAAGAAGATGAGAGCAATGGACGAATAAGCCAATGTACAACACCCCATTGCAACACTATGCGTGGAGTTTTACAACACATGACTTCATGTACACAAGGTAAAAATTGCCAAACGCCACATTGTGCTTCCTCTCGTCAAATTATATCACACTGGAAGAACTGTAACAATCGGGAATGCCCTGTGTGTGAACCTTTGAAACAAAACCAACACTACCAACGTAATCAAATGATACGTCCGCCTCAAAACTCAACTCAGGTACATCCAGTCACGAATCGCATTCCCGAAGTAAATGGTGTTGATTCCAGTCCTCATTCCTGTGCTGCTCAGCAACCACCTAGCCAACCTTTTCGAGCCACTCCCATCGCTAGTGTTCCTGTTAACACAGCTGTTACACGAGCACCTGGCTCAGTCATCCCCAGTACTCAGATCTCAGATGCTTCGAACTTAAATGGTGTCAGTAGTCATGTCGCAGTGAACTGTACTCCTGTTGAGCAAAATGACTGGCGAAAAGGTGTGGATATATCTCAACGTAATCATGTTGTCCGCAGAATGTGAGTGGTAGATTTTATTTAATTTAACATTTAGTGCTTTATTTAACATCCTCATTTGTGTTTACAATCACTTTCAGTAATACTTGTTTATGCATATATTCGTTTCCTTAGTGTTGGCTTTATTCCGTAAAATAGTTACAAGTGCTTTTTTGAAACTTAGAAAATGTTTCGGAGAACCAGCTTCATTAGTTTGCATTCGTACTGTGCAGTAGTGACCTACGAGTTCTGTAATTTCCTGAAAACCAGTCGGTTGTTTCCTTCGATGTCTTCCTGAGTCACTCATATGTCGGATGTTTTATTACCACTTACACTGTTGATACTTCTACTATTAGATTTAGCTTGGCGGTTTCATGTCGCTGTTCTAGTGGAATGTAAATCCTGGCATACACCCATGTTCTAGGTTTTACGTTGTATATAACGATGCCTTCCTAGTTCGCTTGGTACTCCTTGGACTTGGTTAGCCCAAAATTAGGTAGAATTTCATACTTATATTTGTGGTTTCCTAGCTCTTGTCTCCTCATCAACTACTCCAGGGAGATGTCAATACTTTCTTAAATCCAAAGAGTACTTCATGATGTTTACGATTGTTGATCTCTAAATATTCTGTCTTTATTAAGAGCGTATTCGGTCTTGCCGTGTACTAAAATCTGAGATGAGTTACTCTGTGATTTCTAAAATTTAGGCCTGTAATTTGGCAAAAATGAGACTGGATACGTGTTGGCCGGTCAGTTTATAGTAGTAATAAAAATGTCCTATAGGAAAGTACTAGGTTAACTTGACGATTATGTTGTCAAATAGTCCTAAACATCTACCTGCTTTACTATTGCTCTAATTTGACCACTTCATTTGGATCCCATGGTATTTTTCTATCTCTTGTAGTAGTCCTCGTTTCTTGGTCTCATTTTTGACTTGAAGCCAGTGTTTTCAAATTGTTAGTGTTTCTTGACCACTGTAAAATTTATAGCTTTACTTTTTTGCTAGATGTACCATGGTACAAACGACTATCGCGTGCAATGTTCTTTCAGATCGATTTGTTATGTCACTAAGTGATTGCCCGATTATTTCGTTCGTGGAGTCACGATATTTTTCTCCTGTTAGGCGTTGATAATGAGAAAATATCTGAATTGTTATCGCATCATTCCAAGCCATATTAGGAACCTATTGTATGAATACAGTATGTCGTGTTTCGAAATTATTAAGCAGTTTTTAGGTCGAAATTAGTGCTAAATGAAGCAAGTTAGTAGTTGTTACCGTACGTTGACCAAACCATCTGAATCTTGATTCAGGTCTCAAAACTCTAAGAGCTTTTTTACTTGCTAATTGTTTTGAAACGTGATGCCAGTGCTAACATCGAACCAATTATCATTTATCCCTTGATTATAAGACTAAACGATTTGGTAGTGTATCTTTTACTATTGTTTTCTGCTTCAACGTTAATATTGTTATCATTATTCATGCTTTCTTATGATAGCTTGTTTTTATTGTGGATTATATCTGTTCTGGTTGCTATTTTATTGAGGCATCCTACGTCTGCTAGTTGTGTTATGTGTTAAGGTAGTCGGGAAAGATTCAGATAAACGATAAGCCAGCTCAGGTCAATTATCTCGGTCATATTTACTCAGACGAGATTCAGTAATATCAGATACGAAATATGGTAAAAACACTTGTCCCGTCACAACTTGGTGATGGTTTTTGAAACTTTACAGCAAGACGACTTGAAGTCTTCAAGTATGTGTCTGAGCCACCACATATCATCACAATTGGATACAGTCAAGAAGAATGCAAACGATTAGGAAATGCTTGCAGGAGTTGAATATTTGAGTGGTCAAACGTAATGGGTAAAGTCGAGGAGTGAGATGCATCAAATAGCATGTAGGGCCTGAAGGAGGGTAACTAAATCATTTTCAGTTATGAAGGTTCACATTTACTGATTATCGATATCCATCGGACCATATTTATTTATTTTAACACATAGATATTGGTACAAGAATGCACCAAATACATATGCGCCACACAAATCTTATTCGATATGTGTGAGGGCTGTGATACTGTCCGGGTGCCCATACCGAAGCAGGTGGTTATCTTAGGGGGCTACACCCCGAGCCTTTGACCTAAAGGTCTAACCCACAAGGCAGTGGAGCATCGTAAGGAGATGCAGTCCCATGGTAGCCGGTGACCAACGATTGGTTCATACGCCATTTGTTCCCGCAGGATACTGGAGCCAGCCCATGTGCACCATTGGTTTGGGATCCGGTTAAAGGACCGGACATTCGCTTTTCGTCCTCTCATTTTTGTAAATAACACCCCCGCCACGAGAAGGCAGTGAGTAGGACTTCCCTGGCAGAGGCTATATACGCGTGGCCATGTGAGAGCATTTCGAGAGGGAGAGCGGACTTTCCCCACTCTCGGCCGTACCAGGGCATTTGGGGGCAAGAAGAACTGTATCTACCCTACACACGTTAAATATATCTTTCTTCACTTCATGTGCTAATGTCATGTTATTCTAATCACTATCGTTCATTTTCCGACCTATCTAGCATAGCTTGCTGTGACAGGCGGTAACCAGTCTATTAAAGCTTACTTTCCAAATAATTTGCTCAATTTATCCAACACGTCTGATACTATCCTTTCTCGTCCTACCACTAACGGTGCACCGAAAGCACAATCTAATAAGTGTTTTCTATCCACATTGCCGTCTATTAATTCGAATCAAACTGCCGAGCGGTGTACTAGTCCTTTCGTAAGCTAACAGACAGGTAGCACTAGTTGGCAGTAAGAACTTTGTAACCCTTTTGTATCCGTGCGTAGGTCTCAGTAACTAACGGGTTTGACTATACTCGAAATATTTAATACAATTAGTGTCCTCGCTTATTTCGCTTCCCAAAGTTGGAATTGAGTATTGATACAAACTTGTCCTTAGGTAACATTTTGAACTTCAAATCAAAGGAAGTCGTTCCGAATAATTCAACGTTATCGCTTTGAAGTTAACATCTGGTTAAGTTAATAAAAATTCTCGAAAACACCAGTCTGTGAAAAGCAAGAAATTTGTCTGTGACAGTAAAGTTAGGAAGAGATAGATGTGGTCAGCTCTAATTACCCGACCAAGTGTCCGAGAAGAAAAGCCTCTGGTTTTCCTTTCGATGATAAACTGCCAAGATACGCTATATCGACAGACCGAAATCCAAATAAATATCAGGTGATATTTCAAAATCAACTATTCGACCTTAGATTTGCAGCATTATCAACAATCGTGAGATCAATAAGTAAATGGTTGGGGTTAAACTTTTTGTTTTTCTCATCTATGCTCTAGTATTCCTGCCACTAAGTTCTGTATCAATTTATAAGGTAGATCTCAGTAACCATACCACTATCACTTAGCAATTTTTCTTAACAATTTCATTTTGTCGTGCCAACGTGGTGTGACAACTGGAATCGATGTACGTTTGTGTCACTTCCTACAATACATATGTCTAGCTGACGCAAAAATCCATTAGTTTTTATGTTAGCTCAATTACTCAATCAGCCTCCTTGGTGCCTCCTATAAAAAGTAGGAGGTTTCACAATGTTAATTGTGTGATCCATCGGGCCAGGAAAGAAAGTTATGTACATAGACCACCTTGAGAACTTCATACTTTGACGTTGGTCGTCAAGGGGTTGACTTTGATGTAAGATGATGATAGGTGAACGCGAAATTCGAAATTTGGCACAGTAATTGTTCGAAGTTATTATTTTTTGACCCAACTGGTCTATTGTTCCATCTACGTCTATCAGCCTGTCTTGTGCTCATTGGTCAACGACTACCAATCTACCTAACGAAGATGTCTTCAACTCCAGATCATAAGACGCCACAAGTTGCCAAGCCCAAACAACCTACCCTAAACCTTTTGTGGATGGTGGCGAACTTCCGGTCATGGAACTAATTGGGTTTGCAGGTGTTCGTGAAGCAGTTTCCTAACACCTTAGAATAAAGCGTCATTCGTCCCCATTTCTAAAAAGGGTTTACGTTATGTATTCCAAAAGTTAAGTTTCATCATATTTCGCTGACTATTCAAACTCCGTGGAAGGCTGACTCACAGAGACCAGACTGGGTTTGTCGTGAATGTGTTGTTTATATCTCTATCCTCCATCAAATGTTAAGACATCGGTTTACTTATTACAGGTCAAAAATCGTTTTTTTATAATCGGGCCGCCTTCGATTCGTTGGACCAGGTCTGTTATCTGGGATTGTTGTGGAGGTATGTTTCTAAAAAGGTTATGTATACGAGGGCTTCAAGTAAAGTGATGGTATACAATTACCTCTCCGTCGTTAAGGAGAGTTACTCGACTTCACTGTTCCTTTTGAATTCTTCTGGCAATGATATTTTGGAGACATTTCTGGTGAGAGCTCGTGGTGTGGATCTGTTACACATAAAAAGGCTTTTTGATATCGTATATTACTGTGTTTTAAAACAACTTATCCAGGCAGTATTTAGTTCTCGTAACCAGGCCATGCACGTTGCGGCTTCCAAATGCGAAGCAATCTTACAGGACTTGTGCCTGTTCTCTCTGTGGTAATATATCCCAAGCTGTCGGGAAGTTCGTGTGTCTGAGTAGTCGTGTAAGTGCTGCTAGTGGCATGGGAGATAAAATCGGTGGTTCTGTTCGGTCGTCGTATTTGGAGAATTGCTAACATCTATGTTAGCAATGCTGAGGTTCTCGTTCTTTGTGTTACAATCATGGGACACCGCTTTTAGTGGGTTAAAAATGTATGAATGTCATCCCAATGACTTCCATGATGTTCGTTGGTTGTTGACGCTGAGATTGGGTGAAAAAAGCGACAGTCAGTGTATAATAAAACACCTTGGTATGGTGAAAAGCTATGTAGGGTTGCCGTCCGCCAGTTCGTTACGACCCCGTGGTTGAGGTCCTAGTGATGGTGTAACTCTGGCTTGAGAAGTTATCTCATATCTCTCGGAGTAGAAATCGATAGTAACCTTATTGTCGTTTTCCGTACTATTCATAAAAATAAGAACCCTCATCTGAAAAAAGTTAATTTTACTGCTTTCAACTGACCTTCTTTTTCCGTAAATTATTCTTACCTATTTCATGATTTAAATCCATACTCTTTTATTTCTTCACAACGTTATCTCTTTCTTGTGTGTGGTACGTATTTTTTGTTATTCAATCGTACCTGATTTTATGAGTGCAACACGAAATAAATAGTTCTAGGAAAGCATGGGATTCGGTTAGACAAACCTCCAAGCTGAACTATTTCATCAGTATCTCTCATGGTTAGATTCTTTAAAGTGACCACTCAATTTTATCATGTAAAAGTCTACCTTTTCAAGTCCTATGAGTTCTAGTGCTTTATGTAAACTGCTACTAGATTGTCCTCCATGACCACATTTGTGCTCGTAGTTCTTTATTTTCAACATGAATCCCCAGTTTGCACATGTCGGTTCAGCTGCATTATCAACAATTTTAGTGTGCAGCTAGCTAAACTTCACAGACGTACGCAAACTTGTAGAGCTTGTCATACCATCGCTTTATCATACCAAGTAAAGGTTTTTCTGATTTAACACTATTACTCTCCCTTAATTACTAAACCTTTTCTTTTACAGTGTACGTTTCATTTTCCCGTTTCCGGATCCTGCTGCTTATTCAGATCCAAGAATGCGAAATCTAATCGAATATGCACGCAAAGTTGAACGCGAAATGTATGTTACTGCTACAGATATTGATCATTATTTTCATTTATTGGCTCAGAAGTGTTACAAGATACACCGTGAGCTAGAAGAAAAACGTAAAAGCCGCCAACTTGGAGTGGACAGTTCAGTAGGGAGTTCTCAATCTGTAGTAACATCATCTTCTGCTGTTAACTCATCGCAATTGAATCAGAGTTTATCCACATTGTCTAATCAGTTAGCTTCACCGTCCAATTCAGTTTCTTCTACATTAGGTTCTTGCACAGCAAGCAGAGTTCCGAACTCCAATATTACCAACGGCAACTACAATTCTTCAACTGAGAGCTATGAAATGAATTCATTTGCAACTCAGGATTCAAACAACTCAGAAACCGACATGTCAAGATTCGAACATTATTTACAAAATGCTTGCAATCGTCATCGTTTCAAGTCAGATTCAGGAACAGCAGGATCTTCTGATTCACCTGTTGTATCCTCATCAGTTACAAGTCTGAAAACCGCCACGTTACAGTCCAGTATTAAATCAACAATAGAAGATACCAAAATGGTCAGCACTCCATCTGTAGCTGCCCCAGGAGATGGCATCCTTGTTAAAAGCAAAGTAGTAAAGGTTGAAATGAAAGCTGATGAGACGCCATGTAACGATCCACCAGTGAATAATGACTCATTTTCTGTGGACAACACATCAAACCTTAATTCAAGCAGTGTCTCATTAGCTTCAAACATGTTACCTGTAAAACCAGATGAAAGCAAGTGGAAAAAGTGGTCACGCGAAGAGCTTTTGCGCCATTTCCTCCAGTTGCATGAAGAAGTATACAATGATAAGTATGCAGAACCTTTCCGTGCTCCAGTCGATCCAGTAATGCTACATATACCTGATTATTTCCAAGTTATTAAAGAACCTATGGACCTTACGACTATTCGAAATAATTTGGAGGATGGTAAGTACACGGACCCATGGCAGGTCGTGGATCACTTTCGACTGATGTTTAATAATGCATGGCTGTACAACAAAAAAACCTCCAAGGTTTACAAGATGTGCACCAAGGTATGTTAGAGTAATTTCGCTTAACCTTTCCACTGTAGTTGGCAGAACTTTTTCAGAGTCGCATAGATCAGGTCATGCAAGCAATGGGGTTTTGTTGTGGTCAGGATTATGAATATCAACCTCAGGGTTTGTATTGTTCTTCTTCAAATTTATGTACAATAAACCGGGATGCTACTTATTTCGTCTACATCAACAAGTGAGTTCTTTAATATATTATTATTTACTTTAGTGATAAACAAATCGGCCTCGTATGTGATAAATATTATCAATGTGAAAAATGTTTTAGCGAAGCTGGGGATGTAATTATATTAGCTGACGAACCAAATCAATCTATGTAAGCCAGATTTTATTATTTTTCAACTAATTGATATTTTTTTAGCCCGATTAAACGAGAGATGTTTGAGAAACGAAAGAATAATGTGAAGGAAAAAGAAGAATTTGTTATTTGTGTGGAATGTGGTAGACGATGGCATAAAGTCTGCGCCTTGCACATGAACGAAATATGGCCAAGTGGATATATTTGTCCTGGTTGTTTACGGGAGCGCGGTATAAAGCGGAAAGAAAACCGGTTCACTGCTAAGAAGCTACCCGTAACGCGCTTGAGCAATTTCTTAGAAAAGCGTGTTAACGATTTCCTTAAGAAAAAAGAAGTTGGTACTGGAGAAGTTACTATTCGCGTGCTGGCAAGTTCTGATAAGGTTGTAGAAGTTAAACCTTTAATGCGTGCAAGATTCACTGAAAGTGGCGAGTTGTCTGAATCGTTTCCTTATCGACTGAAGGCTGTGTTTGCTTTCCAAGAAATCGACGGCCAGGATGTGTGTTTCTTCGGTTTGTACGTGCAAGAATATGGTTCAGAAAGTCCTCAACCCAATCGTAGAAGGGTTTATGTTGCTTATCTAGATTCAGTCTTCTTTTTCCGACCAAAACAATATAGAACAGATGTGTATCATGAGATTCTCGTTGGTTATCTTTTGTATGCAAAGCGATGTGGTTATGCGATGGCACACATATGGGCTTGTCCACCTGGCGAAGGCGACGATTATATTTTTCATATGCATCCTACCGAGCAAAAGATTCCCAAAGCAAAGAGACTCCAGGAGTGGTACCGTCGGATGCTTCAAAAGGCTATCATAGAAGGAATTGTGGTGGACTACAAAAACATCTTGAAAGACGCATTAGACCATCAACTTGTGTCACCTACAGAGATCCCTTATTTTGAAGGTGATTTTTGGCCAAATACACTTGAAGATATTCTTAAGGTAAGTAAATCTGTCATAACAGTATTTTCGTCCTCTGCATTAGCGTTTTCATGTGTATTGTTGTTCTTGACGTAAGTGCCTCTTTGCATTGCACAACTAATATTGATTTAGATTTTCAGGTTTATAATTTATTTTTTCCAGTAAGATTTTTGGATTCATCCCAAAGTTTTCCCCTGTTATTGTTTATCTTCTTTAGAAGAAATCGTTGCGACGAGTTATCGTCACTCAGTTACTGCCTAGATTTTCGAAAAACATGGAACTCATATTCTCGACGATTGTCTTCATAACTTGAGGAATTCTAGACACCAGTAACTGTTCAGTCAGTCAGTAACAACGTAGAACCCCTTACGTACGTACATCAGTTCGAGTCGCCATACCACATTAACACGAAGATGCAGTTGTCGATTCAAATCCCGTAGTGGTGGAGGTAGTAAAATTATAGGCAGTAATCGGAAACATTAGCGTTTAAAGATGTTATTCAAGGAGTATAATCTAGTGAAGTAAATTTGGAAAGCGGAAAAACGGGACATGAATTCAGAAGATGAGAATTTGAGAGAACACAAAGAGTAGATGCACCTGCACCATTGCAAACGATTTTGAGTCATGTCATTCAGGGTCTCTAACCATCAGTTGCTATCGTCTTGCGGATCCCAACCAGGTAGTCTACACCTACTAATATGTCTCAGTTCATTTGTCAGTGACTTCATGGGCTTGTGCAGTCGGTGGTTGGGCATACGTAACACGTGTCCCAGCCATCTCAACTGATGAAGTTTCACTACTTCATCAATTGCTTTGCCATCCTCATCTGGCACCTGTTTCCTAACAACTCCATTACTTGGTGGTTCCAGGATATACGAGCAATGTTTCGAAAACACCTATGGTCGAATACTAGCAGCTTTCGAATATCCTCTACTCTTACTGGTCATGTTTCACTGCCATAAACTAGGACAGAACGGACTGCTGCACAGTAAACTCGTTCTTTGGTTGGTTAACGAATATCTCGACTACGCCATAAATGACGCAAGTTGGCAAAAGTTAGTCGAGCCTTCTGTTTCTGTGCTGAGATTTCGTCACACACCATACCACAAGGGTTGATGAGACTTCCAAGATATTTGAAGCGGTCGACACGCTCAACTACTTCACTCCCTATCATTGGCCCGGGTGTCGATGCAACCCAATCCTGATGATAACTTACAGATTAGTAGCCTAGTGTCGAAACCATAGACAGGTTTTTTTTAAACGGAAGATTAAGCAGTAGCAAGTGACATGTTTTTTGTTAGTACACTTTGTGCTCATGTCGTAGTTCTAAAGTTTTAACTCGTTAAGTTCTTTTATTTCTAATTACTACAACTTGCAGCAGCTACTCAGATCTACATAGTTTCAAGTTGATATCACTTGAATACATGCCATGTTTCCTATTTGTTTTGTGTGACACTGTGTCATCGACTTGACGATAAAGGTCACTAATGAGTCTTAATTTTTCCGTTAAATGTTGTAATTCAGATTCAGGAACTGATCTAAGTGAACCCGTAAGTCACCTTTACTACTCTTGTTAGCACCCATCTTTCTAGTCAACTAGTCAAAAATACCTGTAGTGATTATTTGACTAACTGACAATTAATGTAGGGCCCGGTAAGAATGTATTAGCCTAAGTAGTCATACTTCAAATTTTCCTCAACATAATTGAGTCAGTGCGAGTAAAAACCACGTTAAGATGATAACAGTAAGTTTGTAGCACTGAAAGAGGTTTCCTGACTTCAATCATAATTCAGTTTTACGGCAGTGTTTTCTTATCAACTTAGAGACTTCTGCGAATATCCATTCTTATTGTTTTCTACACTTGGCCTCTAATTGTTGCGTAAAGTGTTGTTTTTAAGTATTCAGTTTGGATTATATTCCCTTCTGCCAATAACCAAAATTCAATACTGGTAGAAAGTACAAAGGATATACATTAACGCCAAAATGTACTTGATAACAAGAAAAAGAGATCCCTATTGACTTTTTGGACAGTTGTCAAGCGACGAACACGCGAAAAATCGATCTACTTTGCAAAAAGTGACAACTTTTTGTTGTTGTTTCGGTCCGATTCAATCTTTACTTCAGCTGTTGCAGCACGTTTTAGTAGGCAGTGATTTTAGATTTATAATACAACCCAATAATCTCTGAAAACGTTCATAACCTTATCTTATTTACTCCCCTTAGTTATTACTCTATACCTAACACTCATTCTTCGCTTTTCCTACTACACTCAGGTAGTTTCAGAACCACATTATCGAATATCTGTGATCTGTTCACATTTTTCAGCGATTATGTCTTAGTACTTTAAAGTAGAACGAGAGCGATTTCTATTTATTGTGCTTTTGTACGAGACATCAGGGCATATCATGCTGCTACGGTTGGTATTGGTTGACTAATGCTGAGTGCATTTTTTGTATCTGTGATGTCTTGTATCAGGGTCACTGTGGTCTAAGTGATCATTGTGATCAGCTATGAATTTTCCTTCTAGTGAATTTGGAGCTACTTGACCGCTTTGCTCCCCTCAGAAGTCTCTTCATTGATGTATAATAAAGTAGTCTGAAAAGATGAACAACATGATTTTATTATTAAGCTGTTTGCTTTCCTATTGACAGGAGTTTTCTGTTTGACAAGTATTTTCGTTATACTTAATAATGTGACTGGCGTTATTCTGAAAATTCAAAGCATCCATAATCGGTATTTATCCATATTGTGTTTGTATCAGAATAAACTATTCACAATTGATATCTCTAAAGCGTTCTAAATTTTGTATTAGTCATCTTGGTCCCATCTTCATCCAAGTTTTTGTGTGACGTTTTTTATCGCTTCTTTCTGACACCGTTACAAACTCACTTGTGATCTGTATAATAAAGTTACTTTTACAAGTTCTAATTGTTTGATTGATATTTCTCATCCTTATTTCTTCACAGGAACTGGAAGAGGAGGAAGCTCGTCGGCGTCGTGAGGAGGCAATGGCTCAGGCAGAGGCTGAAGATGATGAAGCAGATTGTTCAAGCTCCACTAATGAGGGGCTACCTGGAGATCCTGATAAGCGCAGTGGTAAAAAGAAGGCTAAGAAACGCAAAGGTAACAAGAAAGGCAATACATCAACTGCAAGTAAAAGAAAACGCCTGGATGGACCAATAGACGGTGCTGAAGAACTTTCACGGAAGGTGTACGATACTATGGAAAAATTAAAAGAAATATTTTTTGTGATACGCCTTCACCGACATAACTCGGCTGCCTCACTTCCACCCACCACTGATCCAGATCAACCTGTACATAGTGAGCTAATGGATAGTCGAGATGCGTTCTTACAGATGGCCCGGGAAAGGCATTTAGAATTTTCATCTTTGCGTCGTGCTAAGTATTCTTCTATGGTCCTGTTGTATGAACTGCATATGGAATTGCGTCAAAGCTTTATGTATAACTGCAATGTTTGCGGTGCTCAGATCGAAACTCGATGGCATTGTAATGAGTGTGAAGAATATGATCTGTGCTCTCGTTGTTATAAGACAGAAAATCATCCACATCCTATGGTTCAATATGGTCTTGGTATAGATGAAGATTCAGGCACAAATGAAGAAACAGGTGATAGACCCAGTGGTACTGGTGCTACACCTGATCGTCGAATCAGCATAGAAGGATGCATAAGGTCTTTACTTCATGCTTGCCAGTGCCGGGATGCAAATTGCCGCATGCAGACTTGTGCTCAGATGAAACGAGTTTTATGCCACACTCGAAACTGTACCAAAAAAGCTACAAATAGTTGTTTGCTCTGTCAACAGCTGTTGTCGTTGCTATGGCACCATGCTCGAAGTTGTGAAGAGTCTAAGTGTCCTGTCCCCTTCTGCTCAAACATAAAGTATAGAGTTAAACAAAAGCTATTGCAGCAGCGGTTGCAACAAAATAAGTTGCTCAGACGTCGTATTTCGACAATGCACCGAGGAGCACTGCCAACCAGTGAATCACAACCTCCTACACAAAGTTGTCCTACCTCTGTAATAGCATCTATCTCTTCTACTTCTTTAAATCCAAGTAGCATTAATTCAGTGCATCAAACTCAATCTCCCATTCACCAGTCCTTAACCACGAACACAGTGAGAAACCCACAGTTATCTACTTCCTCAAACTCAGTAGAAAAGCCTCTAAGTAATACTACCCCTGTGAGTTTTCAGCCACAAACTCAGGTACAACAACAAGGTCCAGTGTTGCTTTCCACGGGAAATCCTCAATATTCGCAGCCACCTCGTATCGCAGTACCGACTGTCGCTTCTCAGAACAATCAGGGTGCAAACCCACGTCCACCTGTTGTATGTTCTTCATTAATGCCTTCCGGAGGTCGTGTCATAATGCAGCCACCAATAAATACAGGCCCCGTACAACGTACAAATACTCCAGTCACTGTATCCGTCACTTCAGGTTGGCGACCTCGCCCAGTAATAGCTACTGCATCTCAAGGTACAGTTCACTCGTCTACCGGACAACAGTCACAAGCGCAGCCAACTTCTGCAACATCAACTCACTCTTCTGTGTCTGTTCTTAACCCTGTAAACAGTCAAAAACCAACCATATCTAACAAACCTACGCAAGTTGAGATAGACCATGTTAGTCAAGTAATTAGCCTTATTAAGGCTACCGGGACTTCAAGCGATGAACAAAACCGTCGGGTGAGCAACTTACTGTTTTTAAAAATGTTGACAAATCGTTTCTTTCTGTTGTGTTTGTATACAAAACATGCTCACTACATAAGCCGTAAGCATAAATATTGTAAAGCTTGGGTGAGTTATTGGGTAATTTTTGAACACATGAATATGCTTGCTAATATATTACCAATCGAAATTCCTTGTAATGAGTATCATTGAGAGTATTAAATTGATAGGTAGCTCATGAGGAAATTAAACTCGTTTACTTTCACCATACGATATATGTTAATTTTCCTTAAAATTGTATTTATATTAGGTGATGCGTTAAATGGCACTGGAATATTGCTACTGATTTTGATATCGGTTACACCACTGTTTTATTATTTTGCCTAATAAATGGGAAACGAACTTCACTAACCCATATCTGCTTGTTTATTTGTTTTTTAAATATTGTTTTTTTTATTCTCTCATAGTTCATCGCATGGATCAAACGCCATCCCGAGTTTCATGCTGCCTTTTTTGCTCTACATTCGCAACATAAACAACAAGCTGAGCTACGTGCTCAAGCAAATCAAAGGCGTGTGACTACTTCGGGAAGTATGCCTGGTACGTCATCACTATCTACGAGTTCTGCACTTGCAACTTCCTCAATATCTGATGCCTCCCAATCTCTTCTAGGTTCTAGTGGGGTTTCGGGTAACGTTGTTATCGTTCCATCATCTGTTTCCGCTAATTCGAATTCCCAGAACACAGGATTAAATCGAACCCAAAATATAAACAGTCTTTCTACACCCATGTCGTCCATGTCTGTCGTTACTGGTTCAACCTCTTTAGGTTCTACTCCTGCTGTGATGCATCAACCTGTTCAGTGGATTTCTATTCAGTCACCAATCACTACAAATCATCACCAACCGTTGATTACTGGATGCACTGCACAACCAATCCAAACTGTCCCAAACACTACGACTCTGCGTTTCCGAGCAGTTCCGGGTACTGCGACATTAGTGCAGTCACAACCACAACAAGTACAGCATTTCTATAATACGACTCAACTTGGTCCAGACTCTGCGTTCAGTGGCAATGAATCTGGATCTAACATGTTTGTTTCAGCTACTGGTTCCAATATATTGTCTGTAGGAAATCAGCAGTCTCAAGTTCTTAGTGCTGTTCCTCAGCGCTTAACCCCAGCTTCAAGTTCAAATATGGGTCGTCAGTCCTCTACACCACAAGCAGCTATTGTACACTTTAGATCACAACAACATCAACCCTTGAGTGGTACAGTGAATGCTATGCAACCTCACATAATACTTACTAACACAACCGCTCCTGCAAGTGGCCCAACCCACCTCTCTCACCAGTCCCAACCACAACTTGTTTCTGCTACTTCCAATGGTCGTCAAGTTGTTGCTTTAATGACTCACCAAAATATTCCTCATACAAATGTTTCTGATCCAGGAGCCCCTTTACGTGATTCTGGTTCCAATAATTCTGCTAATAACCTTGGCAACGGCATACAATGATTTCTATCTTTAAACGTAGAGAGAACACTTTCATGTTGCTGGCTGTGTAAGTAATTTTAAAGCTGTTTTTGAGCTGACATAACATGGTCATGTTTTCTGTATCAATCCAAGTGCTAGTTAATTTATCCCAAATTACACTGGTAAAAACACATCCGAATTGCAGGCTCAAACTATTATTCAGGGAGGGGACTTTTAATAAATGCTCCATGTCCCTTCAATCTAACAACTTTGTGATTCGTTAAATTTTAACGTCGCATTTATGTTAATTTTGATTCCTGAATTTCCAAGCCAGTTGTGTGCATTCTTTCACTTTGTTCCGGTGGTCGTTCGCTCTGTTTGGTTGCTGCGCACATTATTTTGATACATTTTGTAGTTACCCCTCCCTGCTTCACAGTGCTTACACATCAAATGAGTTTATAATTCCCGAGGATATTCAAAATATTTTTCCTGTTGTCTTTATTTCCTGTTTATTGCGGTCTTCGGAACGAATTCACAACTCTATCAGATCTTACGAAATTCACTGGTAACGAATGATTTGTTTACTTTTAGATTCAAATTTGTTTTCTTATTTAAATGTATGAGCTAATCTTTTGTAGCTCATACTTTTCTTTTCTTCAGCTTGTTCTATCAAATCAGGTTGAAGTGTGTTAAATATTTATCACTGTATACATATATGTCAGAGTTTTAGAACTGGTTTGGTTGCGCCTCCATTTGTTCAATATCCCAAGAAATAGTTTAACATTGCCTTTCCCCCAAAACGTCTTTATTCGAACTTCGGGGTAATATAGACTTGTGTTGTATATAGCCGAAGAAACTAATCTCCCAAATACCCTTCTTTATTGCCTAGCTTTGTACATGCGACACGTACTTTGTGCAGTCAACATTTTTCTTTCTATCAAATTTCCTTCCATTATAGTATAGTATAACTTTGCTTATGTATATGCTTTTAAAATCCGGTCTGTTGTCCTTTCACTGATGTATCCCCAACACTTACTATCTTCGATTTGTCTTTGTACGCATGAAATGCGCCTGCTTATAGGTCACCCACAAAATTACTTTACTCTGTCTTTGTAAATTATTTTCTCTTTTTATTAAGAGTTCTATTGTCTATTATGTCCTTTTATGAAATTGAAAATCGGATAATTGGATTATGTGCTGTTGAAATAATTTGTTTGGTTTGTTGTATCAGGATTAAAAATTACTCCTGACGTTTGGGAATTAGCCCTAAATTTAGTGGCTTTAGTCGTTCAGGAATACAGATAATGCTTTCTTAGTTTGGTTTTCGGAAAAGCTTACTTCTGTAATTATGGTGTTTTATCATAAAAGTCATAATTTATTCTTCGGAAATACAGTTTGAGATCTGCGATTTTAAATTCGGCACTAAATACAAATTAAAAACCAGGTATTTGGGAACTCTAAAACCGGTTCCGCTTTCGTGGTGTAAATAATTCGTGTAGTATACATCTTGACGGTTGTTTTGTGTGGTGTGGTTGTCATGTGCGTCCTATTAACCAGTGATCAAATTGACTAAGTAAACCTTATTATCGCCCCAGCTATTCAAGTGATAAATTGAAGGTTCATGTCAATGTGCATCACTTCAGAAGTAATGTGGTTATACTTAAATCGCATTTGTCGGAGTGAATCTTCATCATTGGACCTTAAATGACCCAATCGTTTCTAAAAACGCTTTTTGAGTCGCTACGTGTGATTATCTGCGCAATAAGATTAGGTTGCAAATCAGTTTCGGGACTTGTGTTTAGTGGGACAAACCATTTTGAAAACCTAGTTACAGATACCTCTTTGGGTCAGGGTGATATATTTTCCTAGTGAGGGGAATTTTCCACCAATTCACACGATATACGATTCATAAGAATTCGAAAATTTGGTTCAAACGTCTTATGGTTTACTGCCATTATAAAACCACCTTTTTGGCTGGTAATCGTAATTTTTAAGTTGAGGTTTAAATCGACAGATCACTTAGTCATTGTGTTGTAGTACGATTCGCATTTTAACAAGCTGTTCATATTCTTACTGCCTATCAATTCATTCGTCGGTGAATAAAGAGCGATTATTTGATACAAATCGTAGACGAAAAGCATTATGATCATTTAACTATGAGATATTAATAAATGGAACTCATCAAAGTTAACATTTATATATGAATGAGATTATCTTTGTGTTTCTTGTACGTTGATATTAATGATCAATCAAATTGTTTGCGAATCTTCAGTGTTTTTCACATCAAATAATTATTGATCCCATTGTTGTTAAATCAGTTTGAGACAATAAATAACTTCACATGGTTTTACTTTGTTTCAGTTAGATAGCAATTACCAAAATTAAACGTGAAGTTCAACCTATTACTAATTTTTATAATTATTCTTCACATTAAACTAAGATAACCAAAGTAGCTTATGAGTAAGATGTTTCGAAAATGTCATAAATTTTTGAACATGGAAATGTGATCTTGATTGGTACGCGGTCGAAAGTGCTAATCACTACCCAGACATTTAAAAGGCTCAAGTGTATTTAATGATTCATTTCTTTTATTAACGTTTTCGTTTTAATGAGGTAGATTGACAAATGCATCTCATGTTGACTGAGTGCTGTGGTAATTTTCTGTTTTTGATTTAATATTGGCAGTTTAGTAAGCATTACTCTTTCATTTGTTTAGAGTTTACACTTTAGATTGAAATGCATGTTTTAAACTACGCTACTCAGCGTAACTTCACATATATGTTGATGTGAATCACCAACTAAAATAAAATATATAATTTAATGGTCTATACGTAGACATTTCAAATCTTTGTGTTATAAGAGGAATGTCGCTTACTTCGTACAGGCTAATTTATTTACTTTTATTTTCCTCATTTAATCATTTTGAATGATAAATAAGGAATTCGGATATCAGGTAATAGTTTTCATGTTTGAACCCCCTAATTTGGTTCTAGGCAACTAGTTAATATCATTAGTCTTTATACAGCGTGATTCTACGCCGGATACAGAGGATCGCACTAGGTAAGTGAATTATATTCCTCCACTAGTCAGTTTCTCATATCTAACTACTTATAAAATCGTTTCGGGATCGAATTTCTCCCAGCATACTTTCATCAGTACTTAGCCCTTAGAATCAATCAAGATTTAGTTGCGACCATGCTCGAACTAGAAATTTATCCTTATTATAAGAAGTTCTAGTAGTTTCTATAGGAATTTCCTAAACGATTTGAGTACTATATGATTATTTTGAAATAATTTGGATTTTCGGGTGATACTTATCCTCGGGATACAATTGATATATTTCGTAGAACTCATTTATTGCGTGTTCTCGTAAAAGGCTCACTAACTACAACGTTTTTTCCAAATCACTGGGATCTTGAAGTGAATTCTGTAGAGATAGCTTTTATTATTTTATGAATATTTTTTTTACTTAGTGTTCCAAGGCGATTAGAGTAAAATAATAAATGTTGAGTTCAATGAATGGTCATCGATTCATGCAAAATTAAATCAAAATAGAAAAATACACTACTGAATAGTTTACAATTAGTAGTATAAGTTGGTGAGTATTTCATAAAATTGCTTGCCAATAAATGTTGCTGATCATATTAATGTAGGGTAATAAGTTGTTTGTGTGAGTGGATAGGTGATTAGCTCAGCTTCATGCAATAAATATTTTGAAAGGTTATTCTTTTTAGGTGTATCAAGCGAGCTTACCTGTATACAATACAAGGAAACAAACGTCATTTTCATAAATGTCTATCACTTGGAACAAGTTTATTCTAAAGAATCACACCTTATAAAAAAGGTTCTCTGATGATCATAGATATTTTGAGGGCCGGATTTAACACAGTTTCGTTGTATTCCAGAGATGTACCGGAAAACGAAATATCATGTCTTGCAATGCGAAAAGTAAACATTAAGAGTCATAGAAAAGAACGATGATTTTAAGTTAGTTTTGAATAGATTATTTCTAACACCTCTAAGTCTATAGAACCATATCTAGACATGACTTTTATGTTCAGTTACTTAGATATTTATAAATCTTTGCAACGATATTTCAAGGTAACTTACCATCAGACGTAAAAAGGATCCATTCAAAGAAAATAAATTCGTTTGAGGCAGTCATTTCTATGCATGAAGTAATGTCTAAATAATGGTGTCAACTGGTTCCACCAGAGGTGAATGGCGTCCTGAAAGGCGATTCTAGTCAGTCGTCTTTCATGGAATTAGGTGTTATAACTCACAAAAGTAGGAAAGGATTGAGCACTAAGTTTTGTTCATTTCTTTCAGATGGCTATTGCATATATAATCAAAACAAAATATGCCCTTCCTAAGCAGCTACATCGAATATTATCCAGAAACCTTAGTAACGTTTACAAATATATCTGGGTTTAAAATTGACCATCACTTTCGATACATCGAATCAGAAGTTACACCTTATGATAGTATTAGTTATACAAATCTCACATGAATAACAATCCTCCAATCAGTTTGTATGGTGCTCTGTAGTTCTTCAGCACTTATGGTATTTGCTACTGATGTCGACAGATATAAGTAGTATGTACCGTCGATCGAAAGTGAAATGTCTGGTAAGAAGGTCAAAGAAAAAAGAATGGTTGGGGTGTAAGCAAATGAACAATGAAGTCTGAGACGATTGACTGATATTTGCAAAAGGAACAGTCTAGTTTGAAACAATTGATTGACATTTTGTAAATGAAGTATTCACTGTATAGTTCTCAGATCTTACCAAGATGTTCTGTAAATTTGTGTTTAAATATATTCGATTGTCCTCACTTGTGTTCTTGTTCACTACACTTTTACTGGAAATGATTTTTGTCAGGATGGTTTACTAGAAAAGCAGTTAAACATGACTCGAGTGTAATTCACTATATAACTCAATTATACTCATTATCGAACTGTCTGTTATTACTCATTGTAAGTCATCTCAATTAAACGTAGTAAATTGTGGAACACTGTAAATTTTCATTCATTTCTTATTTTAGTAGAATTATAATTCCTTTCAAGTTGTGATGTCCACAAAATATCTAGGTTCATGACATTTTGGTATGTTCTTAATTGCCATTAAATAACCGCAGAAAACCAACCAAAAGAATAAAAAAAAAGTAGTAGATTTAATGATAATCTAGTTCACCTATGGAAAACCTGAAAACTAGTGACACTGCATACTAGGGAAGAGCTTGAGAGTCTTAACTTTTGAAACAAAGTAAATTACCATAAACATCATTTCACTACTTTCAAGCCATCACAGCATCCTTTTTTCAGTTGTATTTGCTAGTCGATAATCCTCTAAGAAGATCGAGATTAATTCAGATGTACGAATAACCATCCATGTTATTAGCAGGGTTTTCGCGTGGTAACTGGAAATGACTGAACTTGATTTAACGATAACGTAATGGGTGATTCATCTATACATTGCTGGTGCAACGACGAGATAGCTACCATTATTTCTGTCGGGTGTCTAAAGCTAAGGTAAAACTATACCTGATTTACGATTATTTATTTGAACACATAAATATTGGAACAAGAGAGCGCCAATATATATGCGCCACACAAAACAATGACAAATCGAAGAGAAAAAAAAGTAAGGAGCCCAAGAAAAAAAAGAGGACAATAACGAAGGGATTGGTGTAAGGTAGTGTGGTAGTAATGAGGGAACGGAAAGGTACAATCAGAAGAAATCTTTCAGGTAAGGGAGACAACAACTTTTTATGAAGAAAGTAAAAGAAGGTTACAGTAAGATCGCCACTGGCTTCTATTCTGAGCCATATCTGATAACGTCTCTAACCACTGTGTTGCAACGTCTCTCGGACCCCAACCAGGGAGTCGTGAAGGACCGACAGAAGCCAGTCCTTTGCAGCTTTCTTTCATACCATGACAACATGTCACATACTGACCACCTCTCCGCTTCTTCCAACCAGTCCCAGAGTCGGCAAATAATGCACGACCTGGAATTCTCTGGGACGACATTCGTAGAACATGTCCAATCCACCGAAGTCGGTGCTTCAAGATGGTGACACCGATTGCATTATCGTCTCTGTGACCGAACACACGATGCCGAACCTCTGCATTACTGACATGGTGTTGCCACTGGATGTCAGCAATCCTTCGGAGATAGCGATGATCGGACACAGAGAGTCATCTAACGTCCTCAACTCGGAGAGGCCAGGTTTCACAAGCATAGAGCAAGACTGCTCTCACCGACGCGTTGTAGATCCGACCTTTTACAGCCAGACTAACATCACGAGGGCGCCAAAGATGGCCCAGATTGGCATAAGCCGCTCTGGCTTTCACTATACGTGCATTGATCTCATCACTCACACCCCCACCGGTACTTATGCAGCTACCCAGATGCACGAACTTCTCGACTACTTCTATCTGCTCACCATCCTGGGTGAGTACAGGATTAGAATCCTGCCTGTCTTGTGGAAGTACTTTGCACTTCGAAGGTGCAAAGCTCATACTATATCTACCGACACGGATTAAGTGCGGATTGCATACCTTGGGCATTATCGCACAGTAAGACAATATCATCCGCCTACTCGGGGTCGAGAATTCTTTCTCCAGGCAACAGATCTACACCGCCATTACTTACATCCATCAGAGCTGTTTCTAGAATGTCATCGATGGCAAAGTTGAAGAGGAATGGTGAGATTGGGCGACCCTGCCTAACCCCACTGCTCGAATGGAACAATGGAGAAAGGTGGTTGTATGCCCTCACTCTGCCTGAGGTGTTTGTATATAGGGCTTTTAGGATTTTAATAAACTTTTCATGCACACCCTTCATCAATAGACAATCCCAGAGAACAGTTCTGTCCAACGAATCGAAGGCAGCCCTTTTGTCAAGAAACACTACGATTGTTGGCCTTTGATAGGTATGGCGGTGTTCTAGCATTTGGCGGAGGGTGAAGATATGATCAATACATCCTCGATCAGAACGAAACCCAGCCTGCTCCTCGCGAGTCAATATTTCTCGGGTTTTGAACAACCTACGAAGTA